CTACTATATAAACTACAAGACTGGCAGTGTCACTACTATATAAACTACAAGACTGGCAGTGTCACTACTATATAAACAACAAGACTGGCAGTGTCACTACTATATAAACAACAAGACTGGCAGTGTCACTACTATATAAACAACAAGACTGGCAGTGTCACTACTATATAAATAACAAGACTGGCAGTGTCACTACTATATAAACAACAAGACTGGCAGTGTCACTACTATATAAACAACAAGACTGGCAGTGTCACTACTATATAAACAACAAGACTGGCAGTGTCACTACTATATAAACAACAAGACTGGCAGTGTCACTACTATATAAACAAGACTGGCAGTGTCACTACTATATAAACAACAAGACTGGCAGTGTCACTACTATATAAACACAAGACTGGCAGTGTCACTACTATATAAACTACAAGACTGGCAGTGTCACTACTATATAAACAACAAGACTGGCAGTGTCACTACTATATAAACAACAAGACTGGCAGTGTCACTACTATATAAACAACAAGACTGGCAGTGTCACTACTATATAAACAACAAGACTGGCAGTGTCACTACTATATAAACTACAAGACTGGCAGTGTCACTACTATATAAACAACAAGACTGGCAGTGTCACTACTATATAAACAACAAGACTGGCAGTGTCACTACTATATAAACTACAAGACTGGCAGTGTCACTACTATATAAACTACAAGACTGGCAGTGTCACTACTATATAAACTACAAGACTGGCAGTGTCACTACTATATAAACAACAAGACTGGCAGTGTCACTACAGTATAAACCTACATGACGGGAGTGTCACTACTATATAAACCCTACAAGACTGACAGTGTCACTACAATATAACTACAAGACTGACAGTGTCACTACAGTATAACTACAAGACTGGCAGTGTCACTACAATATAACCTACAAGACTGACAGTGTCACTACATAAAAACCACAAGACTGACAGTGTCCACTACAATATAACCTACAAGACTGACAGTGTCACTACAATATAACCTACAAGACTGACAGTGTCACTACAGTATAACCTACAAGACTGACAGTGTCACTACAATATAACCTACAAGACTGACAGTGTCACTACAATATAACCTACATGACTGACAGTGTCACTACAATATAACCTACAAGACTGACAGTGTCACTACAGTATAACCTACAAGACTGACAGTGTCACTACAATATAACCTACAAGACTGACAGTGTCACTACAGTATAACCTACAAGACTGACAGTGTCACTACAATATAACCTACAAGACTGACAGTGTCACTACAATATAACCTACATGACTGACAGTGTCACTACAGTATAACCTACAAGACTGAGTGTCACTACAGTATAACCTACAAGACTGACAGTGTCACTACAGTATAACCTACAAGACTGACAGTGTCACTACAATATAACCTACGAGACTGACAGTGTCACTACAGTATAACCTACAAGACTGACAGTGTCACTACAATATAACCTACAAGACTGACAGTGTCACTACAATATAACCTACAAGACTGACAGTGTCACTACAATATAACCTACGAGACTGACAGTGTCACCGGTTACACTGTGGACTTGTTTTAAAGATGAGTTAGTGATTCGTTTTGGTCTCTGCGGAGATGAAAAAACTTTTCAGGGAAATTCAGACGTTAGTAGCTGCTTGTGGTCGAGCCCCGGTAACTTATGAAGACATAAACCAGTGTGTGGAAGATATCACATTCTTAATGCACGCAACCCACAACTTTAAACGTAAGTCTTCATCGGCCGATACAAAACAGAACATTCTTAAGGCAGTTATTCAGTTTGCATTGGGTAAATTGTTGACTCTTTGTAGGCAGTGCAGACTTTAGGGAGGAGCACATCTCCTTTACTTAGAGAATATGGTCGTCTAGTCCTATTTTGTGTCTTCACATATGTGCCTGCATGCAAAAATAGTGCTTTGTTGGTCGGGAGATACGTTGTGATGCTTGTAGAGTCTTAATGGCCAAGAAATAAAACAGGGATCCTGGAGTGAAAGCAGGTTGCAGAGTGGCCAATATGGCGCTGCAGGTGGGTCCTGCAGACTCCATGAACGTTGTGTGTGTGTGTGGTGTAGGGGTTTGTCCTACGAGGAGAGGTTAAGGGAACACAACCTGACAACACTAGAAGACAGGAGTGATAGGGAGGGACATAACATCGTATAAAATACTGAGAGGGACACAGAGATGTGATACAGCAACAAGGGGTCACAACTGGAAATTGAAAACTCAGATGAGCCACAGGGATGTTAGGAAGTATTTCTTCAGCCATAGAGTTGTCAGGAAGTGGAACAATCTGGAGAAGGATGTAGTGGAGGCAAGATCCATACATAGCTTTAAGAAGAGGTATGATGAAACTCATGGAGCAGGGAGAGAGTGAAGCTAGTAGCGACCAGTGAAGAGGCTGGACCAGGAGCTATGAATCGACTCCTGCAACCACAATTAGGTGAGTACACACACACACACTTGTCGTGGGGATAACATACAGTCAACTGTATTTACGTAAAATTACAAACGATCTTGTTGACTGTATATTATAACTGAAACAAGTGCATTAACACAATGAGTGAATCATACTATTGGAGTAACTTACATTACAAAGTCCGAGATATCGTAATTGCTTTAATATTCTGGTTCAAGAGCATGAAGAGGGTGTCTCACTAGGCCGAAAGTATTTGTGCTGTTATTTTGTTATGTGTGTTGATATAACAGATGTTACAATAATGTATTGACAGACTGCATTAAACTTAGACTAAGTTAAGAAAGTCAGTGTAATTTATTCCTACCTTTGTACACTGCTATAAAGTTAGACACAACTATCTCTAAAAAAAAAAATACCTGTGTTTTTCACCAGTGACCTCAAGCTGAAGTATACTTCAGCTGCTGTCTGTGTAGCAGATCATAGGATGTGTCCCGAAATATAACCTAGTTTATGTGTAACATAGTGTGATTTATATCACATCACATGGTGTGTCCAGATCAGGGCATATAATGTGTGTTAGCTTCATGATTATGAGACTGTTTAGTTGTTCTTGTGGTGAACGCCAGTTTTTAAGAGTGTAAATAACTGGCAAAGTAGCCAGTATAGATTATTATTATTATTATTATTATTATTATTATTATTATTATTATTATTATATAGGAAATCGGTAAACCCGTAATTGATCATATAAAACCTGGAAAGGGGAAAATGATCAGGTTTCATCCAAGGAAGGGAAAGCTATTTATATTTCTTGGATCAAAAGCCCTTCACCAGCATCAAGGACCCATCCCTTTGAAGTATAGCATGTACCACAGTGTTGCGAGTTATTGTATGGCTGGGATGAGTTATGATGTGACCCTGGGATGAGTGTTGTGATGTGACCCTGGGGTGAGCATTATGTTGTGAACCTGGGGTGAGCATTATGGTGTGACCCTGAGATGAGTATTATGGTGTGATCCTGGGGTGAGTATTACGGTTTGACCCTGGGATGAATGTTATCACGTGACCCTGGGGTGAGTATTATGGTGTGATCCTGGGGTGAGTATTATGGTGTGACCCTGGGGTGAGTATTATGTTGTGACCCTGGGGTGAGTATTATGTTGTGACCCTGGGGTGAGTATTATGTTGTGACTGGGATGAGTGTGATGTGACTAGTAGCCCTAACATGACACATCATGAAAGCCTTTGAAAGGGGAATTATACATCAAATTACAACTTTTATGGAACAGCATAACCTGCACAGCCCTAACCTGTATGGATTTAGAAAAGAAAGTTGATGCTTGTCACTGCTACTAAACCACTGCGACAGAATTACGTACAGAGGTGTTGGAAGAAAACCAAAATCCAGACGTGGTGTACACAGATTTCACAAAGGTATTTGACAACTGCGACCACAGCGTGATTGTACATTATTTGAGGGCGGTAAGTATGACAGGGAAAAATAGGTAAATGAATTTTACATTTTCTGGCAAACAGAACACAGATACGTAGATTACAAAGAAAAATCCAGTCATAGCGAGGTAAATAGTTTAGTACCCCAAGGCATAGTCCCAGCACCTCTACTGTTTTCTGTCCTTATGTAAAGTGGACAGCTAAAACTGTTCGCTACAGTTTCGTATTATCATTCGCATGTGATTCCTCAATAGGCATTGAAAATCACCTCATAAGAGGACATAAAAAAATTAAAGGAAGATATAAACAAAATCTTAGAGTGGGCCATGGAGAATATCATGACGTTCAGTGGTGACAGATTCCCTGGGATGAGTCTTATCATGGGGTATGACCCTGAAGTGTTATTGTATGACCCTGGGATGAGTGTTAATGGTATGACCCTGAAGTGTTATGGTGTGACCCTGGGATGAGTGTTATCAGGTGTGGGGTGGTGGACTGGTAGGTGGGGATCCGTGGAATGCGGGTAGGGGTGCGCGTGGCGCTTGCGCAATTTTACCATATAATTACACCATATACTGTCACTTGGTTCAAAGGTGTAACCTATGGGCGAAATCCTGTCTACCTACGTGCTGTCACCCATGAGGTCCATTGCACAATGAGTTCGCCAGTGTGCTCATCACTCGTACATGTGTACGCTAACCATGGTGCAGAGTGTAACGTTGAAGTGTGTGAGAGTCACCTTGCCTGTAATAATGTAACACTTGTGTAAAGTTGACTTCACTGGGTCAGTATTAAATTCTTGGTAATATTATCCTTCATGAGCGGGTCTTTGATGCTGGTGATGGCTTCTTCAAGCAAGGAATACCAGCTTCGTTACTTTTTTCTTTCCTAGGCGCCAGATAGCCCCCAACTCATTGAGCATTTCCTTTTGAATATATTATTACTATTACTAGTACTATAATAATAAGTGTGTCGCTATGTACGGAGAGGTGGGGAGTATGATAAGGAAGTATGATGCATACCTCGGCAACACTGATGGTTGATTTATACAACACTGTCAGATGATGCCTGGCTGGCGGAGTGTGCGTCCTGGACTCTTGTTGGTGGTACTGGTGGCACCTAGTGCCAAGGTGATCCCTGGGCCCCTGGCTGGCTGCCTCAGTTGTGTGCCACCAGCGGGCGAGGCAACACCTGTTGCTACACACTTGTCACACACACATGCACTAACACCGCCCCCTCCTGCACGTCCCGCCAACTGTCCTGTGTTTACCCATTTTACTGTTGACGTGACCCCGCACACGGTGTGTGGGTCACCCCGTTCCTCCCTAGCCACACCACAACACTCACACCTGCTGTTAGAAAAAAAACTAGTTTGCTGGAAACTGTTTCTAGACACACACTGGGTTGGCACACAGTGTGTTCATAGCGTGTGGGCTCTGCAGTGTGTGCTGTAAAGCCCAGTGTGTACATAACCTGGAGTGACCCTACCTAACTCTGCCCATACACCCGGTCACCCTCTGTCCGGCAAAACGTAAGTACCACAAGTTCTTTTGTAAGCTGGGTACTGCTGTGATGACCTGTCTGTAGCTATAACAGCAGAGCTGTGTGGGTGCTATTGTGTTGCTAGGTGATGGTGTGTTGCTGAGTGCTTTTGAATTACCGGGTGCTAGTGTGTTACTAGGTTCTAGAGTGTTGCTAGGTGCTGGTGTGTTGCTGAGTGCTTTTGAATTACCGGGTCCTAGTGTGTTGCTAGGTGCTGGTGTGTTTCTAGGGGCTAGTATATTGATGCGTAAAGTGTATTGCTGTATGCTAGTGTATTGATGCGTAAAGTGTATTGCTGTATACTAGTGTATTGCTGCGTACCAGAATGTTGCTGTCTGCTAGTGGGTTGTGTGCTAGTGTGTTGCTGGGTGCTAGTGTGTTTCTGCTAGTGTGTTGCTGTGTACTAATGTGTTGCTGGGTGCTAGTGTGTTGCTGTAAGCTGGTGTATTGATGTGTACTAGTGTGTTGCTGTCTGCTAGTGGGTTGTGTGCTAGTGTGTTGCTGGGTGCTAGTGTGTTTCTGTTTGCTAGTGTGTTGCTGAGTACTGGTGTGTTGGTGGGGCTGTTGTTTTGAATGTTGCTGGGTGCTGGTGTGTGGCTGAGTGCTGTTGTTTTGACTGTTGGTGTGTTGTTGGGTGCTGGTGCGTTGTTGGGTTCTGGTGTGTTGTTGGGTTCTGGTGTGTTGAGTGCTGGTGTGTTGCTGGTTGCTAGTGTGCTGTTGGGTTCTGGTGTGTTGAGTGCTGGTGTGTTGTTGGGTGCTGGTGTGTTGTTGGGTTCTGGGTGTGTTGAGTGCTGGTGTGTTGCTGGTTGCTAGTGTGCTGTTGGGTTCTGGTGTGTTGAGTGCTGGTGTGTTGTTGGGTGCTGGTGTGTTGTTGGGTTCTGGTGTGTTGAGTGCTGGTGTGTTGTTGGGTGCTGGTGTGTTTTTGGGTTCTGGTGTGTTGAGTGCTGGTGTGTTGCTGGTTGCTAGTGTGTTGTTGGGTTCGGGTGTGTTTGAGTGCTGGTGTGTTGTTGGGTGCTGGTGTGTTGTTGGGTTCTGGTGTGTTGAGTGCTGGTGTGTTGTTGGGTGCTGGTGTGTTTTTGGGTTCTGGTGTGTTGAGTGCTGGTGTGTTGCTGGGTGCTGGTGTGTTGCTGGGTGCCGGTGTATTGCGATCTTACGATATGAGCTGCCCAAAGTTCCACGTAGAGAGGACACAACATTGTGGAAATACATACTAAGAAGCGGCTAGTAGGGTAATCGAGGCCCCTCCCACTCATATATTTGGACATACATATATATGAGTGGGAGGGGCTGGGTTTGATTGGTGTCTGGGGTACAGGAGTAATTTCTCGGGTAGCTCTAGGGAAAGATTGTACAAATATATGGGTGTTTTGATAAGGACCTGGGCCAGTAGGTCTTCTGCAGTGTTGTTTCATTCTTATATTCTTATTCTTATATAGACAGATGGCAAAGCAACGCAGCATATCAGTACCTCACACACCTGGGGCAAATATATATCAGTTCACATTACCAGCACTGGTGGAACCGGGGATATATATCCTGAGAGACATAATACACGATGATACAACAACAAAGACATAAACTATACCAAACCCTAACATCCCAAATGGCAAATCCCTCTTCCTTTTTCTTTTGTAATAGTCAGCAGTTAAAAACAAATAGAAATAAAATTAAATACACAAGTGGGCTCCTCACAGAAGCAAATGCATTGTTTGGAGGTTTTACAGAAATATATATAAGGTAAGTTTTGTACTGAGAGATAAAGGTGAAAAAATACAATATTTGTGGATGTGATAGAGTGAAGAGCGTCACTGTAGGTCTCTGTGTAACACAAATGAAAGAGTAGACATACTGGGTACCGAAATGGAGAAAAAAATCTTAGTGATTATCCTGATTTATAAACCCTTTAACAATGCCTGAGGAGTTCGCTAAACCACCAGGGTCCTTAACAAAGTCAGTGCCAGATCAGCCGGGCTGTGGCTCGTACGTTGGACTGCGTGCGGCCAGCAGTAACAGCCTAGTTGATCAGGCCCTGATCCATCGGGAGGCCTGGTCATGGACCGGGCCGCGGGGGCGTTGATCCCCGGAATAACCTCCAGGTAAGCATTATCCTCCTCGACGATTTCATCCTCCGAAACTTGTAATGAAAGATGGAAGATCACAGTGTTGTACTAGAAACTTCTTGCAAGCATCTGGAACTCATAAATTACACAACCCACTAGAAATTAAAATAAACTGAATTGGATCATCATGAACAACGAAGAAGTAATCAAAGACGTAATTACAAATACAATATACTGTGATCACAGCATCATAGAAATGCAGAGGTGGAAAACTCCCAGAAATAGTATATCTTATGGGATATTCGGTAAGTTTAATTTAAACAGTCAGAGAATCTGTTGGGATAAAATAAACAAGAACTATCAGATATACCTTTGGAAACACTCATAATCGTTGTATGCAAAAGTATATAACGTTTTTGTAAAATACCGCTGAGGAAGCCTGAAAGGTCAGATATAGACAGAACATTGAGGAAACAAGGTAGAAAACTTTTTCATTACCACAGAAGGCCACACAAATCACATAATTAACACAAGGACAAATCTTGCAAAATTCGAATAAGAAATATAAAACATGACCACTATGCAGCAGCTGAACAGGATCCGTGGAATTCCTTATCTACAAAGAAGTGCAAAATACCATTGGGACAATTACTCAGGATCCTTTTTAGGTAAAGCTTAAATTCAGGCAATATCCCTGAGGCATTAAATAGAGAATACATAAACATGAAAGTCTTTGCAAGGCGGATGATATATCAAATTCCAACTTTTATGGAACAGCATAACCTGCACATTATTATTATTATTATAATCAAGGGGAAGCGCTAAACCCGTAGGATTATACAACTCCTGGGGGGGGGGATGTGGAAGGCATTCAGGCTTAATTCGGGGAACTGGAGCACAGATCCAATTCCCTAAATCAAGAGCCCCTCACCAACATCAAGGAACCTTCCCTGAGGGGATAACCTGCACAGCCTGAACCTGTATGGATTTAGAACAAGAAGTTGATGTTTGTTAAGGCTACTGACCCACTGTGACAGAATTACAGAGGTGTTGGAAGAAAGCCAAAATGAAGACGTGGTATACACAGTTTTCACAAAGGCATTTCACAAATGTGGTCATAGAGTGATTGTACATTATTTGAGGGCGGTAGGTATGACAGGGTAAAGTAGGAGAAGGAATTTTTGACATACGTATTACAAAGAGTAGCAGTAAACAGAGAAAAATCCAGCTTCAGTAAAGTAAGAAGCTCAGTACCCCAAGACATGGTACTGGTTCCTGTACTGTTTCTTTCTTATATAATATATATATATATATATATATATATATATATATATATATATATATATATATATATATAAATATTTTATATATATATGTGTGTCGTGCCGAATATGTAAAACTGGTCAATTAGCAAGAACTCATTTAAAATTAAGTCTTTTCTAAAATTTTCTCTTATACGTTTAAAGATATATCATTTTCATTAATGTTAATGTAAAAATTTTTAATTTTGCTCCAAACGAATCTTAGAAAACTTACCTAACCTTATTATAACAAGAACAATTTCTTTTAGCCTAACCCAACTAAATATATTTTAGATTTGTTTACAATAATTTAATACTAAACAAACACAGTGAAATATATTTTTTTCGTTAGGTTCAGAATGATTTTGGCGAAATTATTGCATACACAAATTTTCACTTGTCCTATATGGCAAGATGAGCGTTGCTATTTAAGCCAAGATCGCAAGTTCTGCCTATTCGGCACGACATATATATATATATATATATATATATATATATATATATATATATATATATATATAAACACTGATCTCTGGCTGAAGGAGACTCGAACCTACGAACCTTAGGACAAGGTACGCAGTGCTTTACCAATCTACCCACACTGGACCAATACCTTGGCGTGTAGCATGCGCTACACGTTTGATCCAAGGCAGCCAGCTTTCAGGGAGAAGGCTTACAGCTTTTCATCTCATCCCCTGCATGCATCAGCCTTACTAGAGATGCATGCAGGGGATGAGATGAAAAGCTGTAAGCCTTCTCCCTGAAAGCTGGCTGCCTTGGATCAAACGTGTAGCGCATGCTACACGCCAAGGTATTGGTCCAGTGTGGGTAGATTGGTAAAGCACTGCGTACCTTGTCCTAAGGTTCGTAGGTTCGAGTCTCCTTCAGCCAGAGATCAGTGTTTGTGTATATTTCGCATGCTCTCGCGAATTCCTAGCATTGTTCAAATCTCTAGTAAGGCTGATGAATGCAGGGGATGAGATGGAAAGCTGTAAGCCTTCTCCCTGAAAGCTGGCTGCCTTGGATCAAACGTGTAGCGCATGCTACACGCCAAGGTATTGGTCCAGTGTGGGTAGATTGGTAAAGCACTGCGTACCTTGTCCTAAGGTTCGTAGGTTCGAGTCTCCTTCAGCCAGAGATCAGTGTTTGTGTATATTTCGCATGCTCTCGCGAATTCCTTGCAATATATATATATATATATATATATATATATATATATATATATATATATATATATATATATATATATATATATATATATATATATATATTATATATATATATCAAAACACACAAATCAAAAATATACATATGCAGTACAGTACTACGCTTGCTGAGTGACGTTTTGGTGGTAGTTTAAAAATTGACACTGTTAGATATTGTTAATGAAGCGGCCGAGTCATGTGATCAACACCTCCTTCACCTGATGCTTCCCTTAGGAATAAATTAAGAAGTTTATGGTGTCTGCATTTAGTGCATAATTACCTTAGTTTGGTAGTAACTGGTAGTGTGACGCATACAATCATTGAGCTGTGCCCTCAGGGGTTTAGCTCTAGCTCCTGGTCCTGTCTTTACTCTTCATTTTAAAGAACAGTTCGGTTGCTTCACGTGGAATCTTAGTGCTGGTG